TATACAGCAAACAGCTCACCACAGCACAAGTGCTGGACACATTGCTAGGGGTCTATACGTGCCTGGAGAGCCTGATTTGCTATATCACTGCTGGTAATACGCTGGACTGAGGTGACAAGGTCTGACTGGAGCGTGGATGTTCCACTAGGATCACAGTGGAATGTAACTGCATGGCTGGTACACTGAGCAGCAGCAGAGACATCCCTGACACATCACCTGATGTGGCAATGAAAAGGCTAAACGGCTCAGCCGCAAAATCTTCCATTCACTTATGGAAGTTTCGCAGTTACCAGACCCAGGCACTAGATCACTAGAAACAATTGCAAATGCTTACTCTAAACAAGTTTTACTTTTTGTATTACCAAGAACATTTTCCTGAAACAACATTTTCAGTAGTCTGATATTTTTTTGTATTTTTTCCATTTATGCCTGAAAAACTCTATATTACTTCTTGCTGTTTCCCTTTAAAAAGTTTGTTCTCTTAAACTAAGTTACTGTTTTGTCATTGAAAAAATTCTGAACTACTTGTTAATCATGGAAGTTGTGTCTTCCCTTGGAAAGAAGTGCATCAAGCATTCATCTCTTTTAAACACATAGGTATAAAGTTAAAGTTACGTGAGTGCTAATGTTATTCTAATTTCTTATCCTTAAAATAAGCTAGACAATCCTAGCTTTGCTCTCTATAAATAGAAGGCCCTTAGGCATGCAAAGATGTTATTCATAGCAGTAAAATAATTAATAGCAGTCTAAATTTGGACCCAGTCTATTAAATATTACAGTTTTAAACTATTTCTCTGTTAGTCTAATTGGCGAGCATACCATATATTCTCACCTTTTCAACCCATTATCTTGCCACTGTTACTCTGGGGCCTGAATTTTGAACAGCCAGGAATGGTGCCCTGCAAGCTGATGTGTCCTGTGATACTTCTAAAATTAAATACGCAGTTGCCAGATAAATTAAGGTCTGACCTTGTACAACTGTAACATAAGCAGACTCGACCCACAGGAAAGTATTACACATGACTTCTCTAAAATCTTGTCAAATGTAACACGAGGCCTGGACGGTATAATAAGATTATCTGTGCCCTCATTGGTTCAACAACTCTCATTAAGAAAATAAATTATTTGCCAACGTAGTCTCAAGGGATATATTAACAAAATCTGCTAACATATTTACATAAATTAAAACAAATCTGAGAAGGTTTAGCCTTAACTAGTTATAGATCCCGCCATATTACATCACCAAACACTAATCTCTCCATCCGAGGCTGCTATGATGCAAAGCTTTACAGATGCGATGACAGCCATTTATAGTACTTACTTGATTAGATTTAATAACTTTAAATTGGACAAGGAAGCAGGAAGCACAGAACCAGACAGCAGTGATGCAAAAGCAGAGTAACCCAAGAGTAACACCAAGAACAGCAGTACTCAGCAAGTTAAATCACAGGCAAGGGATGAGGAAGAAGCTGGATACGTATCACTGATGCAATACCTCTGTCCTGTTTTAGTTTTAACCAATTAGTTACTATCTTTACCAAAATGAACAGAAAATAAGGGAACTGAAACAACAAACTTCCAACTTATCTTTAATTGTTCTGATGAAATGAAATTGTACACTGTGAACTCTTTGGTGCTCCATGATTCACTTGCATTTACAGAACCACAAAACTGTAAGCTTAACTCGGGCACTACATCTTTGGACACAAGACCAAGAAAACCATTTAATGAAGATAAATAATATTCACTGCAACTTCTTTTGCCAGTGCAACCTAAGTAAGTGAGGCGAGCCTCCAAAAAAAATCAGTAGAACAGCTGACAGAAAGTGCTGAGACCTTTCTCTATTGTTGGCTAAAAGATGATAAGAACAGAAATACATATTTATATGATAAAAAAAATCTAAAATATGTATTTATAATAAAGAACACAAATGTTTTAATTGCTTACCTTGAGTTCTTTCATTTCCTTTACATAACCAGGACACTATCAGAAGTAGTACATATCGACATTACAAGCACAGTATTGTTTTGCTTTTCAGGTATTTTTAATAACATTTTTCATTGCTATGTAAACAGCGTCTGATTCTGCTCTTACATAGTTACTAGGTATAAATCCATGTGTCAATTATGTTCCATGCATGTAAAGCCTGGATAAATAAGACTCTTGTCCAGATACCAAATCATATGGCAATTAGCAAGACTTCCCTGTGAGATAAATTCATTGGTGAGACAAAAAAGGGAGGAGAAGTCACAGCTATAGCAAGGCCTTCTTAGGGTGCCTACGCACTGTATATTGACACACAGGATAATTCTCCAAACAGTCTCCAGTGCTAAACAGATAATAAACTGTGAAATGCTATGCAGGTGGTTTGTTTTTTTTGTTTTCAAAACCGGGTAATTATTTAATGTACTCTGATAGTACTTGTTAGGTCATGGAGTTGTTATATTTTAAATTAAATTATGTATTGAAACAGAGTTTAGCAATCTGGGGAACTTCCTACTGTGTCACTTATGCATCGATTTCACGAACTGTCTCATCAACATGGCTTACTATGTTTTACTCTTTGTACTAGGATGTGTCAAGGACACCTACATGTTTGGGTTGTCTAAACAGACGATTAAAGCTACTGTCTCAATGATGCTAACTGAGCTAATTTGGCTAAAGATTGCCAGGCACGGAACAACTAGTGCTGTGGTTGGTGTAATCAGGAGATAGAGCACCTGGCTGGACTATCGCAGAGAAGGGAAAAATGTAGGGATGATTCAATAAAAAAAGGCAGAAATTTTTAAACAATGTCATTTTGGTAGGAAAGAGATTCTCAGTGCCTTAGAAAGAAACCCCAGGTCTCACTGATCCAATCTCAAAGAAGACTTGGAAGTAGAGAAGCACAAACTCTGAATTCTGATATAAACTGTATTAATAACTTTGCTTTAGTTACTGAATGGTGGTAGCGTGTGTTCCATTAAAAGACTGGCTTTCAGGAAAACTCTACAAGAGTCTGAAACTCAGTTTGTTGGGTTTGCTTGCCAGTTATGGAAAAGAGGAGCTCAAGAGCAGGCCAAAGCAATTATAAAGATAAATTTGTCCAGAATAAATACTATAAAGTTACAACACAATTATTATCAATCTTACTCACTATGCAAAACTCGCCCTTTAACTTAGTAGCTAGGCTATAAAAGTAAGACTTAATAGATGGACAACTGGATCTTCAAATGAACATCATGTTTATCTCCAACAAAATGTATTAAACTTTGTTCTTTTCTCCCACTCTATCTCAAGTCCCTTAGTTTTCTATTTCCCATCAGTATTTTACAGTTTTGCTTTATTAATTGATCACATTAACTCAGAAATTATCTATTTGCCATATCCTATTACAGTGATCCTTAATGTTGATTCTGCAGTTAATTAGCTACATTTATCACAATTTCTTAGTCAAACCAATTTCACAGCTAAAATTCATAGAAGGTATATATATATATGTTTATGATTATTCAACAAATTCCAAAATATTTATGACTATTCTCTGAGGTAGAAAATTATCGACCTCAGGAAGACTTAACTGGTAAATACATGCACTTATGACCATTTAATGTAAGAACTTTGCTAAAAATATATAATCTTCTAATTGTTGATAAGCTTTTGCATTATCTCTAAATTAGACCCAATTCCTAAGCATAAAAATGCTTACTGTTACATATTGCATCACTTATCAATAGGAAGCTGTTTATTATATTTTTATGTATGTTGCAGAAAAACAAATTCATGTACCACAAACTTCTGCAAACCTTAAACATGTGTTTTATGAACGAATGACAGAAGCTGACAGATATTCCAATCATACCTACTACACCAAAAATCTCACTTGGCACAGACATAAACAGTTTTATTTCCACACACGTATCACATAAGACTGCTCTCTGCAGCAATCAAACATGCTTCTGAAGCTTTAAGGCTTGACAGAGTTTGACTCATGAAAGGGAACTTTGAAATCAACTCTGAAGCTTGGACCAAGTTCGGACTCTGTGAAACATTTTGGTAAGTAAATCAGAATCTATGAACCTTGAGTACTTATGAGAACTCGTTACTGGCAGTTATCACTTGGCAAAAATCAGTTGATTTTCAAGCACTGTATGTCACCAGCCATACAAAACCCATGAAGCAAATGTGTATTGAATGTTTACCAGAAACATGGTGAGGATCTAAATGCAATATACAGAACTTCGGACTTCTGCGTGATGCACTTCTAGCAGCATCTTTCAACAGAGCACTCCCCACGTACAAACCGTTACGTTCAGGAAACTGATCAGAAGCTACCTTTAGCAACTTCATGTAGACAACCTCACTGATAGGAACCACATTTATATTTAAAGGGGAATAGTCAAATCTAGGTAAGTGCAAGTGAAGCATGAACTGAAGCATACCGCTACAGTATACCCAGACCACTTAAAGGCGCTGGTTTCCAAACCCTGGGCTGCCTTTCGATCGGACACAACTCTTGAATGAACCCTGCGCAGTGGGCAGCCCGTGACGGCCTCGGGGCCAGGGCCACCACAGGCCCAGCAGCCTCTCCCCACGCAGGGACGGGCCGCGCGGACAAGGCCAGATGGGCAGCCCGGCGGCACCCCCACCTCCCGCCGGGGCCACAGCGAGGGCCCAGCCGCCTGTTCCCCGCGCAGACAGGGGCCCAGCCGCCTGTTCCCCGCGCAGACAGGGGCCCAGCCGCCTGTTCCCCGCGCAGACAGGGGCCCAGCCGCCTGTTCCCCGCGCAGACAGGCGCCCAGCCGCCTGTTCCCCGCGCAGACAGGCTTTCCCCGGACCGGGAAGCCCAGCCGAGTCGAAGACAAGGCGCCACACCCCCCTGCCCCCTAACGCGCATGCGCACCACCCTACCGCCCTCAGACGGCGCATGCGCTGACGTGCGGCGCTTCCCCCCCCCCCGCCTTTGGTGCATGCGCGTTTTTTAATCATCTCGCCTGCTCCGCCCTACTCGCCCGAGATCGGGAGCCGATGTGGTCGCCGCGCATGCGCGACGCGGCGTCCTCTACCGTGTCCTCCAGCCGGTGGGCTCCCGGCGCTACGCCCGCGCATGCGCCCGGTGGCGGAGCGGCGCGGTCATGGCGGGGACGCTGAGGAAGGTGAGGTGCCGGTCAGCCTGCCGCCTCCTCGCCCCGCTGCGCCGGGTTTCTGTGGAGAGGAGAGCGGGTGCCCGAGCGGCGGGGTGAGAGTCAGTGAGTCGCCCTGCTGGGGGGAAAGGGCTGAGGGGAGCGTCGGGCCCGGTCCACCCCCCCCATGGGCCGTTAGCGGGGGGGGCGGGCCCGTGGTGCGGGGAGGCGGGCAGGCCGGGGCTCGGCCCGGCAAGGGAGGCTTTCCAGCAGCCGCTGGGTACCGTGAGCTGCTCTCTCTGGTTGCGCTGTTTCTCCCCTTCGTGTGCGCGGGTTAAAACGCTGCAAAGTTGCGGGATCACGGGTGCGTGGGGGGAGGCGGAGGCTCATGTCACAGAACGGTCCCCGTCAGGTGTATGTTAAGCCAAAGCGAAATAATCAGATAGCGTCGAAATCGATGCTTAGGTACGTTCAGTATGTTTATGCTCTCCGTGCAGACCACTGGACTTGTAGGATTGGCTGTAGCTGAAAACCCTCATGAGGTATGTCACATGTCTTGTTCTGTATTTATTGTCAGCGAGATCAAAGCTTTTTGTTACACGGCTACATGGTGTACCTTAAAGCAGTGCCAACTTAATGAAAGCGTAAAAATGTTACAAAGCGGTAAAGGAATAAAATTCTTAAAGGTTTAATTAATATCATTAGGAGTTATTTTGCACATGTACTTTTTGTTGCATGTGCTGATTTCAAAAACCTCCCCTGTGTAAGTGCTTTTCTGAACCAGTATTTGATTTCTCCTGTCTCCAATGCAAAAGCAAAGAACTCTTTAAATCCAGTTCTTCATAAATGTAATTTCTACTTCACAGGCATGCAGATTTTTGCTACCTTGCTGTGCTGTGTTTCCAGCAAGTACTGAAATAACTTATACCTGTGCTAAGGGGATAGGCTAGTCTTACATGATAGAGGCAAACCATGTGGTACAAAGCCACATCAAGGCCCTGTGATGTCAAGAACTGTTAAGATTGAAATACTTAAGTGGTTCTCAGGAAACACATTAGGTGGTCCTTGTAGCAGTTCGGTACTTTCTTTTAACCTCCTTAGGCTTAATGAAGAAAATATGTTTGCCACAGCTTGCTTATTCAGGAGGTATGAGCTTTGAAAGGACTTCAGTAATTTTTAAATTTCTTTGTGCTTTGAAATTTCCCACTACGCAATGACTATATTTCACAAATGGTTTTGCTGCCAAAAGTTAAGAACACTGTCAGAAAGAACCGTTGAAAAAATCATTATTGTTCTGTACAAACGATTCTAGCTCAGTCTGTAGCCTTGCTGGACATCTTCTGGGTGAACTTAGTTTTTTCAGTGACTTCAAGCCAAAAGTAAAGAAATCAATGCTTCAGTTGAAATACAGATTCTGTGCCAGTCTCCTTTTCATTTCCTGTTTTTAGTTTGTATTTTTTTTGACTGCACTAATCTGCTTTTATTTCTTATTGTTCCTGTAGGGCATCCATTCCTTTTCAGTTAGATGCAGCTACTCAGCCAATACATGGCCCAAAAGCTTCAATTTTTTCAACCCAGTGTGTCCTTTATCACTGCACTTAAATCCTCTAGCAATAAAAGTTTCAAGTTTTAGTTTAAATTAAACCTGTCACTCAGAAGTTTGCTCCAGCATAAGGAGAAGTGCCGATGCCAAAAAAAAAAAAAAAATCTCATTATGCTTCGGTAGTTTATATGCTTCTTTATACCTTTTCCAGGTAACTTTTCAGAAACTGATGGTTTAGACATCAATTTACCTAATTTTTCAAAAGTATAGCTAGTATTGGAAAGACAGTTTTATTGTTTCCATTTTGCATCAAATGTGCTTCAGTTTGCAAGTTCCCCCCCCCCCCTTTTTTTTTTTCTTTAAAGGAATCTGTCAGTGGTAACTTCCCAGTCCTGATAAATCCCAGTGTTACCCAAGACAGAGTTCTGTGGTTCAGACTTAGTTATTTTGTTAATCCTACGTTTCTGGATTGAATACCATAACCTTCTGTATTTTGTGTATAGGTAGTTAGCTAGTAGGTTAAGTAGGACAAGAAGTGAAGTAATTCTAGCTGTGTATTTTAACTGTGTCTTGTGGTCACTTCAGCGCCTGCGAATACTGTACACAAAAATCCTTGGTATCCTGCAAAACATTCCCAAAGATGCAGCATACAGGAAATACACTGAGCAGATTATAAATCAGCGGTTTAATTTCGTGCAAACAGTAAGTACAGTGCTGTTTCATAAATGTTACACATGAAAAGATTTTTAGGGAGGAGAATGATTTTCAAAATGGCTGTTTTTCAGGAGTATATGTAACTTTCAGGTATCAATTCAGAAATAATTGAAGCCCTGAGGTTTATTTTTGTTATTGACTGAAATATTTTGATGGTATATTAAAAATAATATGAATTTTGTACTGATGTTTTCTGTGAAAATTAGAAAAAAGCATAGGGTTTTTTAAGATTCATGGAGTTGGTAGTTTCCACACACTTGCACAAAAAATGCACGTGCTCTTACCAATGGAGTGTCGTAGCATGGTCCTTGCCTTTGACATTTTAAAATGCTTTTTGGTACATTAAACTATGCTGTACTGGTATTGTGTATTTAAGGTGATAATTGGAAGGTTGCATATCATTTTATAAAAAGCTAAGATCAAAATTCTCTTTCAAGATATATACTAAAGCCCTTAGCTTCTAAAGCTTCTTTGGATGTCATTAAATAGTACTCTTTTTTTGTATTTATCATTGAGAGTTTGATGTTTGTTTTCCACTAAGAAAAGTCTGTGAGATTTCTTTGATCATGTAAAATGACAGAAGCCAGCTAATTTGATGGTAGTTCTGTGGAAGACTAGAGTGTGATCTGATTAAATACCATTTTCATGCTTTATCTGGGCTTTCTACTTCTCAGTAAAACTAAGCATTTGTTTATATGTGTTTGAATACACAGGAGACGGATGTGCAAAAACTACAGGACAAACTGAATTGTGGTCACATAGAAGAAGTTATTGTGCAGGTAAAGCGAGGAAATTTAAGTCTAGGTACAAAAGGGAGCAATGTTTTTCAGTGTTGCTTTGGCTGAGCTTCTCTTCAGAAAATTGGCAGTTTTCCATATCTTCCTTTGCTGCAAAACAAACAGGAAAAGAAAAATTTGAAAATTAATTGTCATTTAGTGATTGGGATGAGCATATTAAAACCTAATACAATTAATACATGTTTACTGTATTATGCTTACATATATACTGTGCATAACTACATTGCTTCCTACAGAATCTAAATCAGTGGAAAGGGCAGAAGATGATGGACTAATATTGGGAGATAATACAAATAAAGTGGAAAATATAATGAAGTTGTCATTGAGAATAACTAGGTGAACAAACTGTTGTTGAGGTTGATTCAATATGGGTTTTTAAAAACAAAAACCGTAACCCCCAAACTACACCATTTCTTTTGGTATTTATAGATTAAATTGGTGGTGGTCTGTGACTGGGATAGGTAGTGACATCACCTAGATAATGAACTGCAATAGAGGATTTAAGAATTTATGTATGCTTTTTATTAACAGGCTGAAAATGAGCTTTCCTTGGCAAGAAAAATGATACAGTGGAAACCATGGGAGCCTCTAGTTGAAGAACCTCCTTCTGACCAGTGGAGATGGCCAATATAATTTTCAAACTGGTGTAACCTCTTGGAAGTCCAAAAAAAAAAGTTAATTATTAATCTATTATTACTGACAGTTGTCCTTAATTTAAAGATAATAACTTCATAAAAACATGTTTTGTTCCAGTGTCCACCTATATTTAGCAATCTAAAGACTGCTTCCAATTTCTTGTAAAAATGGTTTTAAGAAAATTCTTCTCAGCTGTTGTACAACCTTTATTTCCTTTCATAATTTATTATTAACAGGGTGTTTGTGCCTCATTCTGAGTTATTTGTATGTTAACAAATACAGGTATTCTAGGCCATTTGAAATCAAAATCAAAGTTGTAGAAAAGTATGATGGAGCCCTTCTCTCCCACTGCCAGTGTCTTTATGACCATGTAGATGGTGAGATTGGGGGTCTGAGGTAATGAAAACTAGGCTTACCAAAAATAATAGTTTTTTTTAGATTTCAGCTGAATCAGTGTCTTGAACTGGCTGACTTCGCTGCCAACATAAACACTAAAAACACTAATTCTGACTCGAGGGAAGCACTGGGAAGACCCAAGAATGGAGGGGGTGAGGGGAAGAAGGAAGACCACCCCTTAAGGTGACAGCAGGAACAGATTTCTTGGTTAGTGGGTAGGTTACCAGGCTCAGCATCATACACATGGCACAGACTTTACTACTGGGGTCTTAGAAAGGCTTTGTATATAAACATGTATACTTTATTGATTTATTTGTATATTATTGATTTAGACCTTGAATATTACTTAGTAATATGAAAAAAATAGTGGATCTTTCTTGACGGATCTGTCTAGGTTCTTTCAAACATTTAAATGGAAACAGTGCCTGCCTTATCAGAAAATTTCTGTTTACAGATATAAGCTCATAAGCCCCAATTAAAATACCCAAATTATATCTGAAGATACTGTGTGAGTTTGCCTTTACTCACATTTTTTCAGTACCATTAATAAAGTTCTTGCAAGTTTAGAGATAAGAATATAGCTTCAATGTTTATGGTAGACTACCACTGCAGTACTTTACATTACATAACATACTTTGTGATAGCTGTTTATTTCATAGTCATTAGGCCTATAAGTTTACCTGTGACATCTTTATTAATGATTAATTATATCTTTATATAATATTACATACAGTCAAGGTATTGGGGAGTAGGACAGTAGAAGAGAAAAACATTATGTATACCTAGGGCCTTGACTGTAGTAACTATTGTCACTGCAATATTTAGCACTGTTTTTTTCAACTGTTATTACTATAGTTACAGAAATTTTATTTTGAAAATTGGAAAAGTGGAAAATATTTTGCTGCATCGTTTGGTTTTGAAGGCTTTTTTAGTCTTGAAAAAAGTAGAAGCTGGTCTCTTCTGAGATAAAACCACTAGATGGCATTCCAGAAGAGGACTTTGCTAAAGTTAACAAACACAATCTTCACATAATAAATATTAAAGGATTACAAACTTGAATGAGGGTGAACAATGTCAGGTGAGAAATGAAGATGAATGACCTTAGTAAGTATTGAGCTGATGTGAGAGGAAGCAAATTAAAATCTCAAAGTCTAGTATGAATGATACTGGTGTGCACTACTTGAGGGGGGGGAAAATGTTGCTGGATTATGGTGATAACTTGGAATTCTTTCTACTCATTCAGAACTGAGACACCAGCTGAACCGTCGTCTCTTTGTTCAGTTATCTTCACTTCTAAAGCTGTATTTGTCACACATGACTTAGAACAGTTCTCCTCTAAGCTTATGAGTTGTGTGTCAGGGGAGAAGTCTCTCCATGGCCAATAGCTACTGAAATTTGATATTTGGTCTTTTAAAGCAGTTTCACTGATCAAAATTGTACTCGCATCTTCTCCCTTTCGCAAATGCACAAATATGTCTTCAGTACAGACCCTAATATGAGTTGTTTACTACCTTGAGGGGATTTTTTTTTTTTCAGAGCTATATTTCCCAATTCATATTCTTAGTGATTTTTCTGATCTACAAGTGTTTCTTTCATATGACTCAGAATAAGATAATTTTCTAAATCTATGCAAAATACTGGATTAGCCTTCACAAATGCTTTAATTTAGGAATCAATTAACTTGAGTCTTAAAAAGATTCTACTGAAGCTAATTCTGGGAATCATTAATAAGGATTTTTCATATTTTTGAGCTTTTTATCAAATTCTCAGAATGCTATGATTTATTTTCATTATTTTAACATTAGTTAAGTTTGGTTTCATCTTGGCATAAATTAATCATTGTACTACATAAAATCATTAAATTAATTAGAATTATGGTGTAGCATAACTTTAAATAGCAGTTACTGAGAACAAAGGGAGGAAAGAAAATGGATTTCAGTTTTGAGTTATAATGATGTATGGCTTTTTTTTTTTTTTTTTTTTGTAGAGTTGTGTAGTTCGTGTTGTCCTTGCCACTTAGGGAAGCAGTAATTTTTACCTTGTACCTTGCTGTTAACTCTCTAAGTGTGTATCTGGTATTTAAATCCACACTGTAGCAAGCCAAACAGTGCACATATTTTATGGGCAAGAAAGTATCTATATTAGGTGTACTGTGTTGCAGAGAATTTAAGATTAATGTGCTAGCAAGGCGTAATTTGGAGACTGTAATGACTTTCTTTGATTTTTTTCCATTACTGATGGAAATACATGATGATGCAAAGGATTTTATCATTATCTGCTGTAATATGGCAAGGTAAATCACTGAAAGCCTTAGAGTTAACAAACTTTCGATCTTTAAAACGCTTTGAGTATCTGATTGAGATCATTATGGGAGTGAAAATCACCCTATTTGCAAGGATGGGACCTAATAGAGACAGAGCCTGTTAAACCAGAAAAACAACGTTCTGATTGCCAGGTAGCAGCAGTTCTGAGGTTTTTGTTATTCCTAATGTGCTATCTGTGCTGCTTAACCTATTTTGAGTAGTTGTGTTCTGAACAGGACACCATTTTAATCTCTGACATAATTTCCGATTATGTTCAAAGGGAGGATGAATGAAAGCTGCTTTTTTTTTGTTTACAGCATACATGCTGTTCCATGAGAAAAAAATGAAAAATCATCTTGCAAACTGAAAATGTGTTTGAATGTTTAATGAAGTTGACTATGTAATAGTGACAAAGTGACACAAAATGACACCGTATCTTTCTATAGAGTTACTGCTGGTCCTATTCTACCCCGAGTTCAAGTTCAATCCAGGCTTTAGAAAAAAGTGTTAATGGTAGTAATGGGAAATTTCTGCCCTTTTGATGGGAAGCAGGCCTGTTTTCAAATGCCTGACAATGCCTGTGAAACTTGGTAACAGTGATCATGGCATACTGTTATCGAGTATGGATATAACTTCAATGCCTGCTGAAATACAACTTTTTTTCAGGATTCTCTTAAGAGTTGTGGCACAGAACTGTGTATTTCACCTCTAAAATGGTTGTGCAAAGTAAGCGTAGTCTCAGTTCTCCTATAGCGTGCTGAAACACTTGCTGCAAGCGTTGTCTTAGAAACTGCGTATCAAAACACCAGGAAATTCACTTTCCTGTGGTTTTAATTCTGGTGTGTCTTCATTTCCACTAAAGAGCCTCGGTCCTCACGCCAGAACTGCTGACCTTCCCAGGGCGAGCACCAGTGTTCAGCTGAACGCAGCGCGCAGCGAAGTGCTGACACAGCTGGGAAGCGAGGGTCTTCAAGGTGAGGGTTCTCAACATCCACACACCCCCGCTTTTCAGAATATCAGAGATGCAAGCTGGGGTATTAGCACAATTTCTGCTTTATCAACAGTATAAGCTGAAAGGAAAAATGGTGTTTTCTTACATTAAAGCCACTATAAGCCACTAAGTTGATCTTCACCTTGCTGTGGATCACGAGGAGCAGGGCCGTGCTGGGGCCCAGGCACAGTTACCGACCTGAGGGAGGCCGGGCGAGGCAGCCATGGTAGCAGCAAGCACAAGTTGCTGCAGGTGCTACGTGCAGGGGTGCGGTGGTGCTTCCGCTAACCGCGGAGGGGTAGAAAGGAGCCAGGAGGGTGCCTCGGCCTTCGTCCGTTCACCTCGCTTCCCTTTTCTCCTCTCCTTGGCCTTCCTCGTCCCTGCAGTCCCTCAGGCACTTCCCTGGGCTCTCAAGGGCCGGGCCCCAGTGCGCATGCTCCCGCCCGCCCCCGGTTGCTATGGCGACAGCGACGCGCCGCCGCTGCGGAGAAGGGGGCGGGAGGCCCGGCGGGGGCCGTGGGGCAAGTAACGGCCGCGGGGCCGCGGAGGTGGGGGGGCGACGGGGGCGGGGGGGCCCTCCGGCCCCCGGTGCGCCCCGTAGCAGGGGCTGCTGCTGCCCTGGGCGCTCGGTAGGCCGTCACCCCTTTGTCTGGCTCCTGACGGGAGCTGCTTTCCGTTTGCTGCTGGTTTTGTTTTGGTTTTGTGTTTGTTTTTTTTTTTTTTTTTTTTTTTTTTTTTTTTTTTTTTGGTTGGTTGGTTGGTTTGTTTTGTCTTGTCATGAACCTGGGATTAGGATTCTTCCAGCCCATGCCCTTTCAGTGGCAGCACGGAAAGACTTAAAGGTGTGCTGTCTCTGGGTAATACTGCTCTGTGCAGTCTTGTGTTTACATATGTGTATATATATATAAAAGAAATAATTATTCTGACTGCCTGCTGGCAGTGCTGTGGAGTATTATGTTTGTTAAGCATGAGTGAGAAGATGTTAAGTGTTTTGTGTTTGGTGGAAGCAAAGACCTCATGATATTCTAAATAGGCTGTTTGGGAACAGATACAGAAAAAGCTTTCCAGGATATTAAGCCATCCCGATGTGTGGTAGTAGAAATGTGCTAGTATGCGATTTTAAATAGATACTATGATTATTCTTGCAGAAAGATTAAAAATGTGCCACTGATACATTAGGAAATGGAAGATTTCCTGAATCAAGAAGTGATCAGAAATAGCGAGCAGAATGTGTTCGAGCCAGATGCCCCATTCAGTGCATCACCTGAGAGCACATCTCCTGTTATCAATGAGAATTATTCTACTTTACTTCAGTTAAGAAATTCAGAAAGGGAAGAACAAACATCTCAAAACTCAGTACTATCAGAGAATATAGGAAGTGGGACAGTAACAGGTAAAGAAGTTATTAAAATGTTGGACATTAAGGCTTTAAAGAGATTTTTTCGTGGTTTGTTTTTTTTTTTTTTTTTTTTTTTTTTAACTTAATTATGGCTTCTTGCACCCCCCACACCCTCATTCTGTTATGTTTGCTGGTTTTTGGTCTTGAAGTGACTTAAAACTCTCATCTAAAATACGCTTGAAAAGGTGAGGAATGTATTTGTTATCTCAAGTTGCAGTAGCAATTCATAAACTACTATGGCATTTTATAGTGATCTTCATTTCCAGAAATGTGTGTGAGTATATATATGTTATCTATGTGCATGTGGAAACCAGCAGTACATAATTCATACGAGTACATGGGCTACTAACAGTTTAGGCTAGACCACAGCAATCACTTTACTATTTTATGCCTCTTAGATTCCCCTGTAACTTACCTGCCACCCTTCTCTTATCCATGCCTTTCTCCTACAGTCCCCAAAACACTCCATCATTTCCTGCACTTATTCCTCTCTGTTCTGGGTGTCCTGTGTTACTTCCTCTTCCCAGTTCAGTGCGCCCTTTTCTTAGGTCTTCAGAGTGGATGGTATCAGGTGAGCACAGTGAGTGACCCTTCAGAGTATGGACCTGCTGACCACCTTCCTCTTGGCTGGGCTGCCTTCACACGTTCTCATTCTCAGTAGCTGGCAATTGCTTCCCAGAGAAGGGCACAGCACCGAAGACAGATAGACTCTTATCTCTAAATCAAAAAGCAGTAATTTCTGGAGCTTCGAGTTGAGTAGATCTGGTTCAGAATATAATCTTTGAATAAACACCACGTCAAGTATTGTATGAAAGGCGACAGTGATGCAGCTGTCATATGCTTAGATCAGCTCTAAATTGGAGCAGGTTTAAGTAAGATTTTCCTATAAGAGTTCAATGTATAAATGGGTAAATTTAAATTAAATTTATGCATTTGCAAATAAAACATTTACTTACTGTAGCTTTTAAAAATAATAGTATGAATGACTTTTTATATGGTAACAGTATTACATTGTATATCTCTTTAAAAAGTGTATGGTAATACTGTTTCAGCTTTCAAGTAGACTGTCTCTCCAGCTCAAAAATCCTATGATTATTCTGTGTTGCAGTGTTTCAATAAATTTATCTCATGGCAAGCAAGTTATTTTATTTATTTGGTTGTTTTGAGAAGCATGTTAGGGATTAATTTTTGTTTTATTTTTAGGAAGCATGATTGTGGATGATGAAGCTCTTAGGAGGACTAGGGATGACTTTGATGAAACTATCCAGTCTGAGAAGTTATGTCTTGATCAGGAACATTTTCCTGGGAGAGCAGTTCAACAGGATTACCGCATGCCTGATGTTGTAACCGTCAGAGTACAAACAAGTAAATGCTGATTTTAAATGTGTACCAATATATATCATGGTTCTCTAATCTCTATCTGTTACTAAAAGAAACAATATTTCTATCTTGGAATTTCCATTTTAACAGATTCTGATTCATTCCAAGATGTAGTTGTTAAAATTGAAAGACCTAACTATCATAAGCCATTTCTGGGTGGATTTAAGAACAGGATAACAGGAATTGAATTTCATAACGCAGGATCACAAACAATACCCAAAAAACGACGTGACAAAGGAATTCAATTATTTTGTAGGGAAACACAGGTAATGGCTTTGTAGTATCTTTTTAGAATGTTGCTTTTGCCAAACAGCATAGAATGCTGACACAATTGTTTCCAAAAGGAATGAGGAAATAGATCAGAACAAATGTGCAATTGAAAGTATTTAGTGGATGGATATCATTAGTGTTGTGATTTTTGTTATAAATAGCTAATTTTTCCACTTATTGTAATAAGGAAAAAAATACCTGTATATTTTATTATAACCTGATATGCATTTTTTTCCCCAGACTGTTTTTGAAAAAAATAAGCCACAGCAAACAAAAAATACAACATCAACACAAATGACTAAAACTGGCCTGTATGTCTCAAACATGACTGACAAACTAATAAATCCTGGAAAATATTTTACAGCAGAAGAATACCATAAACGTAGACTTGAAGCAGTAAGTTCTCATCTGATTGAAATTATCTGTAAAGCGAAGTATTATGAAGGTTATCTGAGTGTTTAATGAGCATTCGGAGTATTCGAAGAATGAATTTAACAGTGAACTGCAAAATATCTGCTTAATTTTCATATTTTGTAATCTTTCAGATATGGGGTAAACATGTGTCTGCTCATTTACAATATTAGTGTTTTTAATGATTTTTGAGACCTTGTGGTTTCTTAAATGTGAAAAAGTGTGATTTTACTGATTTCTGTCTTACAGTGACAGTTAAGCTTCCTTATAGAGCATTGGGGACTACAATAGTCTTGTCCATATGGCATTCTCATGATCTCTTTAGAAGGACCTAAGCTACAGACTAGGTACGAGGAAGAAATTTTTTATGATGAGGGTGGTGAAACACTGGCACGTGTTGCCCAGAGAGGTGGTAGATGCCCCATCCCTGGAAACATTCAAGGTCAGGTTGGGCAGGGCTTTGAGCAACCTGGTCTAGCTGAAGATGTCCCTGATCATTGCAGGGGGGTTGGACTTAGATGACCTTTAAAGGTGCCTTCCAACACAAACCATTCTATGATTTTATGATTCTACATGCTTAATATATTACCTCAAATGGATAGAGGGTTAGAATTTAGGTGACCTTCATTCAGCTTATGAGTTTTGTGGTTTGTTTATTTGTTTTAACAGGCCTGACAGGTTACCTTTAGTATGCTGCTCTGTTTTGGATTATGTTCAAGCTCCTGCTTTGGCATTAAGGTAGAACCTGGCTGTTCAAACACATGCAATGGTCCATTGAGTCCCCTCATGCAGGCTATTCTGATGACAGATTCTGTATGGTCATCGTGCAGAGGATGCCACTTAGGCATTCCAAATTGCTTTTTGAAAACCACACATTTGGTGACTACATGCCTAACTTAAGTACACTCATCATTTACTGCTTTGTAAATAGCCTAGTTATTAATTTGATTACTTAAAATAGTTTGAATGTAACTAAATGGAGAAACAGTTGGTTCCCCATGCATCCAAGCAGGATAATTGTATTGACATGGTTGACATTCTTCTGGGTAGAAGTCTTCTGTAAGAACTTCTTATTTGGCCAGCATCGGCTGACAGCAATAAGTGTCTTGCAGAAGTGGAATGCAAATAGATATCTGTTTCCTCAGGACTGCCAATATGTTTCACTCTGATCGTTACTGACACTGAAATCTGTAATGTATCTGCAGGTAATCTGTAATACACAGTAGAAAGACATCAGCTTGGTGTTGGTTCAAGTTGATGGATTCGCACAGAGTAGTTCCATATTGAAATACTAGCTGAAGACACATTCAGGAGAAATATTAGGTTAAGATATCTCTGGAGACAGTATAACGTGTTAGTGTGGTTTTGTGCTTGATAGCCTTCAAAGCTAAACAGTGCTTATTAGCTCATGGTATCGACCTGGCTAAACTGTTTCTGGTACAAGCGCTAACTCAGCTGGCAGAAGCTTAGGCTTGTGTGTTGTTCACCCTTACCTCAGTATAGACATTTTCCTAGTGTTTAATGGATTTTCTTTTTTAAGTTCTGTCATAACAACATTGGTAATTTCACTTTCATTAGTTGTTTACAAATAAAGTGCAGTTGATTTTGTGTGTATGTGTGCTGATTTTGTTATTTAGAAATTTAAAAGAGATTTTGTGAATGTAAGTCTAAATTCCCAATCTAGACACTATATAAATTGATAGTAAAATGAGAACCTCTGCCCACAAAGCTGAAGGGGAAAGAATAAAAACAATACATGACAAAAGATGTTTTAGGGAGAGATTTGAAAAAGAAAAATAGATTTTGTAATTGCAGCTTATACTTTAACTTGATTATTTCAACCTACTTTCTCTACTGTGCTCACTTGTTAAACTCCTGCAGTTACTTAAATAAGTAAGCATACCAGTGTTTAGACTAACAGTACATGACACGTGACTGGTTTTGTAATATTTCAATTAATTTGAGTACAAGATAAACCTTAGAAAACGTATTTAAGTAGCTAGACAAAATACCAGTTAAGAAAATAAAAATGCTGTATTGTTGCAAATTCACGATTCTTTGATATTGTATCACATATAGGTAATAGTATTACAGACGTATTTCCGTCGTTGGCTTGCTATAAATGTGGTACAAAATCTGAGGGAAAAAAAGAATTTAAGACTGGCATGGGAAGCACAAGAAGAGTTACAGAGAAAAAAAGAGAAAGAAGAAAAACTGAGAAGGGAGCAGGAAAGAAGACTGAACCCTAAAACAAAAGACGACTTTGAGCTACTGTACCATGCTTTAGAATGTAAGTTTTTTCTTAAAGGGATACTCTTAAATCAGCAAAAGAGTACAGTTTGTTTAAAACAATCTCTTCTGGTTTTGATGTGTTTCTATAATACTTTCTTGATTTTTTTTTTTTCACTTACAGTGGAATTTCTTTAATTTTCATATATTTCCAGAAGCAGAAAAGCTTTGACACTGTGTAAGCACTGTTTAGCAATAACTAAAACATCCCTGTGTTTTCAACACAGTTTTCATCACCAATCCAAAAGCTTGCTCTATGCAAGGTACTATGAAGAAAATTAACTCTAGCCTAGCCAAAACCATCACACCTTTTTAGGAAATAATCTGCTTGTAGAATCATGCTATTTGGCTGTGGGGTTTTTTGGTTTGTTTGTTTTGTTTTATTTGTTTGTTTTATTCATCTCTAATGTTAAGGTCAGCTAGAGGAACAAGAACTGTTTTTTTGGATCAGACTTACTCTAATCTTCGTGCTTTATATTTAGGATGCTGAAACCAACACCATGAAGAAATTACTATTAAGATTCATCATATGTAATTTAATATAGGCATTTTATTATAAGGGATTACATTTTTGCCCAGAATATTACAACATATGACTGAGGTTATTCCTTTTGTCCTAGTATTCTTCTCTTTCTGCTTTTTCTATCTTCTAATTTATTCCATGTTTCACAAAACTCTCTGACCAAAGTTTTAAATTCTGTTAGGTGTCCTGTGGGGCATCCTGAAAGACTTCCTTCTTCTGTTGTAGTGGACAGTGTCTAATATAGGCAAGCACCTCTAAACTTTCCTGGAAAAATAAGGTGAATACTACACATAATTGACATAATTTACAGGAGAATAATGCTGCAAATGTAACAAAAAACCTAGAGTACGTCCTTTTGGAAAAACAAAAGCAATAGGAAGCTGTGAACTTGTACCAGCATATAATGAAATTGCAGGAGTCCTTTTTAAAATGTCTCCTTTTAATCAGGATGCTTCCATTGTGACTTGTAACAACTCCTATGTTATCCAAGGCTACAGTGCTTGCTCATGATATAACTCTTTGTCAATTTGGACACTACTGTCCCTATAGCAGAACTGGCCTGATGGATTACCTGCTTCATTACAAAGCCACCTGACCTACCTTAAGCCATTTCAGATATTTCTTCCTTGATAAACTGAGCATAAATTTGGCGGTGTGTGTTATTCATAGAGCTTAGGATCACAATTTAAGAATTCCCAAGCTATACCCTAATCTTTTAATACTGTCATACTTTGTGTGACATTGAACAAATCACTTTGAATGCACAAATGACTTATAAATATTGCTGTTTGTCACAAATGTAAAAATTATTACTGGTCTTAAACTTTAGAATTTGGGGAATGGTAGCTTCATGAGATTTGTAGTTTGTTGGGGGTTGTTTTCCTCGCCCCTGTTTTTCTTTATAGATGGTTAGCTTTTCACTTCACAAGAACCAAACCCTTTTAAAGGTGTCTGACTTGGTAATCAAAAGCCAAGGTACTCAAATAATCATTTTTTTTACTCTCCACTTATGGCAAGTGCTACTATCTGGCATCTGATTTCCTGAAATACTTTCTTTAAAAAACTGCCTCTTACCTAATGTGCTATCAAATGTATAAGCCACTTTTTTTTTTTTTTTTTTTTTTAAAGTATGATGAGTTTTATTTGCAGTAGAAACAACAAAGGTGAGTTAAAGCTGTGAATGAGTGCTGATATTCCCAATATTTTCAGATTTAAAATTTATGGTTATGTAAGTGTCTCTTTTGCTTAATTTAATGTCATTGGACTCATAAATAATGAAACTTTCAGCTTTGCATGTTCAGTAATTTAATATCTAGGCAACCTGAAAAATCATGTGCCACTCCAAAGCTGGAACAGAACAAACTCCAGTATTTGAAATGTCTTCTTAACATTTTGTTAAAAATAATAGCCTAGTGTCAATACCTTTGATTTGGTTTTGTTTACTGGTGTTGACTAGTTGCTTCTCTACATGAGGACTTGCAGTCATGCTTTTTATTTTAATAGAGCTTAGTGGTTCTAGGAAGCTTTTTTTTTTTTCTACCTACATCTGAAACTACTTTTACATTCCTACAGTGTCACCAGTCTATACAAGCTAAATCATTGTGACCATAATAGACTGAGACTATTGTCCTCTAGGGATCTGTGAAGGTTATTGCTGCTGATCACAACAGGAGGATACTATTACAGGATCAGCCAGTACAAGCAATTCCTGTTGGTACAAAAACTTGACTATAGACTGTATGGTATAAATGAGATGTGTCTATATATTCAGTGTGTCTACATACACAGACTGCTTATTTATTTGAAAAGCATGAACTTCTTTGTTTTATGAAAAATGGAATAAAAATCATAATGAGTAAAATCTGTCTGTAGAACAGATAATCTAAGAGAAATGTTTTTAAATTTCTTGCATGGATATGGTGAATCAGGAGGTGAGTACTGATGATAAATGACAGCTTCTTCATTTCTGTAAGTACAAAATGGGTCATTGTATTTATTAGCTCTACCTTTGATGTTGCTGCCCCCTTCAGGCGTATAAAGTTTTGTGTAAATTAATTATATACAGTGCTTTTGCTTGCAGAAATGGCTTTATTTGAAAATATATCTTTAGGTACTCAGAACTTGTCAGACAGCAGTCATATTAATTCCAAAGCTTGAAGAGCCTTAAGGAAATGAATTGAAATATTTTTAAATGGAAAACATAAGGTATTATAGATAAGGAATCCACAGGCAGAAAATAAACCTTCCTCCTTTCCCTCCTCCTGCCTCTAACCTTACCTGATACAGGATGTTACAGGTTTTTTCAGTAAGTGTTCATCACTTATTGGATTGTTTTCTTTACATTGGGTTTTGCTTTTGCATAACTGTTCTGAAACAATAACAACACTTTGAGATATTATTCAGGAATATTGAAGTGTTCAATCTTATAAAATTCCCTACAAAACTCCAGATGTATTTGAAATGGAACAGACTCTTCAGAAAAGCCAAGAATTGTTACAGTGTGTGCAAAGGAAAACACTACTCAGTAAACACAATTTGATTTTACTAACAGAATCCTGATAGAGCATATAGTCTGTGTACTAGTACCTATAGTAAACCAAATGTGTACTACAAAATAAACCACGATAGACACATATGTATATATCTGTATGTTTCTATCATTAATTAGTCTAATTTATAAGTGCAGCAGGTACCCGTGGTTTTGTGATTTGACCCTAAGAGGCAGAAGGCCAGATCCTTATACAGTGTGCACTGATTCACATGCTGCTGTTATTGTTATCTTGTGGTTTCTGTGCCATTTCCACTTGAAGGGTTCTGTTGTAGAAGAGGAAAGGGAGAGTAAAGCAATGACTGTCTAGTTATTAATGTGCATCCTTCTGCCCCAGATGGCAAAAGATGATACCACTTAAATATTCAGTCTAAGACCTGGAGTGCTAAATGTGACTGTCAGTCAAGTTTTATCTCAGTTTTGGAGGACTTCAGGCTGCTTTAGATTTTACTCATTTATGCAGAGAGAAGCAGTAATACTGTCAGCACTGAGTATTAGTGGTACCACGGTAAGATACTGTCCTTAATCTGTTGAGAAGATCTCCATGGTATCTTTTCTTGTGACTTTGATGAGCAATTGTTTAAAAAGTTCCTATTGCTCATACCTTTTGGAGCTGTTTGCGTTTCAAACAGTTATTTTAGATGCAAAATAGTGAAGAAATAATTTCATCACATGTTTCCACAGGAGCTAAATTCTTTTTTTCATGTAAAGCTCCTTTTTATCCTAATCCATCTTTGAGTTTGGAGTATAAATTGGCAGTTTGGAATTGATGTACACACACATACTCTCACAGAATATCTGTATAATTTACATTCATTTCTGGGCCATTTTGTATGTATTGAAACTATGCATAGCAATTAATTCCCTAACATAGAAACTGGCTTTTAATGAATATTGAAAATTATATAATTTCTTAAATATGAAAGTAGAAGTTATACTGGAAAACATCTTGTGAAAAATACCCAAAATATCTGTATCTGTAGTATGGAGGCAAGAGGAGACTGAATGGATTAACAGAACTCTTACTGGAGCTGAAAGAAAGGCAGCATTATGTGGACTTCTGGAAAAAGAAACACAGCTGATTGCTTCCATTGGGAGACACAAACTAAATGTAGATGAGGAGAATCAACAAAAAGCAATACTGCGCTTTCTGGATAAGGTCAGTGATGTAATTTAGGCTGAATATAAAGAATACCAAAGTACGGGAACAGAAGACATCTGCAAACTACATGCCAAAAGTAACTTTAGTAGCTTTAACAGTTAATCATGTGAATGCTGGTGTTATAAATAACCAAATTATCTAGTTGTTCATGTCAATACAATTCCGTAAATTTATTTTTCCAAGCTAAGAATTTCTTAGCTCTGTGACTGATTGAAGGACTAACAGTGCATCATTAAGACTATTAACTACCTGTGTCTATGGTAAATCTCAGATGTGTATGCATAATATAAAAAAGTAGAACTGAGTGGATGAATTTTGTATTATCTAAGTATTCTGCATAAAGAACATGATTCTGATGGCACTGTTAACATCATTAAAGTCTCAAATTCTAACAATTCAGCGTGGTTAATATGAGGTTATAAAGCATCAGAATGTTGCATACCATTCTATATTTTTTATTGTGTACATTAGAGTGATGTAGGAATTCATGCATGAAACCATGCTCTTTCCTAATGTGTTTTTGAAACTTAAAAAAATCTGCCTATTAGCTTCTCTTTCAAAAATACTCAGTTTTGCTAATCAAAACTAATGACCGAGTGATTTTCTCTCTAGTATGTTCTGTTCATTGTTCTCTATAGTGAAAAGTTTGCTGTTGCATTCAAACTTAAATGAAAATGTTTAAGCAAGTATTTGCAAAATTAAACTTTAACACTGCAGAATGGATTAATTGATTATTTTTTTTTATTTTCTTTCCCTCAGAACTGTTATCTTTCAGGAACTATATTTACCATTTACTTTCCCATTGAGCACAGGCCTCTGATCATCATATGTCTGTCTTTAAAGAAAACTTTTATTCTGTTTTCATGTACAAGATAGAAACCCAGAAGAATTTTGACTGAATCTTATATCATATTGAATAGTCATTAATTCATATCATAGTCATTATATCATATTGAACTAGTCATTAATTCACTAGTTTCAGTTGTGTTAGAACTTAAATTTGAGATTTTCTTCTTGAATAATCTCGGGGATGAAATTTAATGCAAGTGTTCTTCTGGCTTTCATCTATAAAACAAATATGAGAATTCATTCACACACAAAAATTATTTGGAATAGCATTAGATTCAATGGCACCTTAATGTAAAAAACAAAAAAAAAAAACCAAACCCACCCATTTTAGGTAGATGTTCTAGCAATCCATCTCCTCAGAAAAAAGAAATACTTTATTTTCTGGCTGTTTTCATAGTATGTGACATAATTATGAAAAGAAATACTGCAACAGAAATAGGGTTTCTTACTATCTTTTTTTTTTTTTATGTTGACTATTTAGTGCTCATAGATAGAAATGGCAGTTTTAGCCGGAAGAGACTTCTTTTTTTCATTCTTTTTATTACTGATGTATGGGAACTGGACTGTAAAAAGTGATTTGATAAAATCTATTACCTTTCTTCATTATGAACAAATTACTTACGTGAAATGTTAGTAGAATTATTACCAAGTTTATTGGTGTGATGTTAGTGCTTTCAAGAGTGCAAAAGACCAGAAAACTAAATATTTCGGAATTATATAAAAACCTCAAATCATTTCTATGTTAAATGTTTGCTTCTGGTATTTGTAATCTATTCTGTTATCTTGTCAGAAAAAGAAACCTGGAACAGTCAAAGCATATACATTTCTCTCTTAGCTGAGTCTCAGTCTTTATTTTTCCCCTAAGGACTGTTTTCCCATGTCCTACCCTATATGGATTACTTTCAGTGTATATTCTCACAAGCTGTACAGGTTTTTTACATCTAGGAATCAGAAGCAAAACGTTCTTCAGTACCAGAATTCTTAGTTGATGTCTGGAGATTCAGGAGACACACGAGAGACAAGAGATGCTCTCTCTTTCCAAACAGTGGACATGTTTCTGAAACACTTACTACTAATTTATATATTCATATTTTAAATGTATAAATTATGTTTTTAATTAAAGAGACTGGTTTCTTTTTAATTTGAAAATCTAGTGAGCTTCTAAACTACTGCAACGTTTCATGTTTTTTTTTTTTTATCATGTCAGCTATAGAGTTTTGGGTGTTGTTCTAAAGTGGTGATATGGATAGCAGTCCAACTCAGAGGTAAAGAAAGTAACCATTTCTGCATTTCTTTAAAAAGAAAATAAATAAAAGTATTTTTGGAAATCTCAAAATTTAATGGATGTTTTGCTGTGACTGTAACAGTGCAATTTAAATACTTTAAACTGTAGTATGAAATTTATTGTTGGAGTGCTAGATTATAGGTTATTCAGTTATTTCTTGAACTTTGAGCTGACAAAGTTAATCTGGACACTTGTCAATTAAAGTTGAAATAACACCTTTCACATCTGAAGACTGCAGTCATTTCACTTTGCTTCGATAGCCAATGTGATATGAAACTTGCTTCTCCATGGAAACCTTCGTTCCCTCCTTTGTTATTTTAAGCACATACCTCTGTATGTATGTTTTTACAATGGTTGCTACTGGTTGTGTGTGCACTACATTCTCGGGGATTCTTTGTCGTGCTAAGATTATTCTTCTTCAGCATTTGTATTTTGAAGAGAAAAGTATTTGTTTAAGCTTGTATACAGCAATCGTATTTTCTTAAAGGATTTTGTGTAATTATTAGCTATCCCTCAGTTCATACCTTTCATGCTTTGTGCTATTTCTGCAACCAACATATGGATTTTTTAAACTTTTCTTACCTTTTTCTCTCTGTGTCTGGGGTGGTGTGTTTCCTCATGTCCTTTTTTCTGCTTTCATGCATTGGCATCAGAGTGCAGTTATAGTAGTCTTGCTCTCTGAAGTAATACAGATAACAGGATGATTGTAAATTCCACAGCACTGCCAGCAGACTAAAAGGCAAGAAAAAGCTGGCAAAAAATCTTGAAGTTTTATTTTTCTCACATCGATCTTGAATACATGAAATTAGTCCTGAAATCAGCCTGTGATTCTTTCTGAAATACTGGAAATACTTACATTGATGAGACCTCTGAATTTTTCTTTTTTTTCAGTAAAAAGCTGCATAATTTCTTTTTTTGTAACTTTTTTTTTTTTTTTATATAATACCCAGTTATAATGAAGTAGTAAGAAAAAATACAGAAGCTACAGATACAATATCTTGCTTTGAATAATTTAGACTTTGTCATAATATAGTCTATGTTAAGGGTCATTTGCAGGGTGGAAATCCAAGACTGCTAGCTCATATATATGTTGTTGCAAATTTATCAGAAGGACCTAGTTTTAATAACCATTTCCTAGGGTAAATTCTACCCATTGATTCTCTCTTACATAAGCAAATGATCTTTCTGTATTTATGTATTAGTGATTTATTTTAAGAGGTTCAAATGTAGGTACAGTCTACCATACAAAGGAGTTACAGCATGATATAGCTTCTCAGTTGGTGGGAGTTTTTTTGCTCTTTTCTTGGGGCTTTTTGGTTTGTTGTTTTTGTTTGTTTAGGGTTTTTTTGTGTGTGTTTTGTGGCTTTTTTTTTTTTTTTAGAATTTCTAGTACTGTACAAAGATAGTGAAACAAAGCAATGAAGTTACAGTAGAATGTTCCTTTTTCATGACAAAATTTCCTCTTTCTAGTTTTGTGGAACCTCAAAGATTTCACTCAAGGAATTAAAAGTTTTATTTTTTACTAATGTTTAGTTTTGCTATTGCATTTCTTAATCACTTTTGGCTCTAAATTGTGACATCTGATTAACAATAACTCCTTTAACTGGAGTTCCACCTCCACTGATAAGGTAATGAAATGCCAGTTTTTAAGTGTTAAATCATTTTCTTCAGTTATTTTGTCTTTCTTTTGCTTACCTAAATTTATTTATTTAAAAGTGAGGAAACCTCTATTTTGATTATGGTGGTGACCACTCATATCTGTTTTAATTATCTAATATTCTTGGTATTTTTATGATTTATCACCATAGCAAGCCTGTATATTTGGTCAAAATAATGATTATATCAATGCAGAGGTTATATCCAGAAAACTACTGGGCATGTGAATGCAACATGAAGTGTTGCTGTAGTTATCTTGCACTGAGAATGCAAAGTGAAGTTCCCAAGTGCTTGTGAACACTCAAGTTCCAAATACAGTGAGAGAGAACAATTAATACACAGAATGAGGTTCCAAATAGCTGTCCCAATTAAGGAAAGGGAGTGGAGTTAGGTAATGATTGGGAGAGGGTTTTGAATACTATCTTTCTATTGCATTTGGATACCTACGTCCCTATGTAACTGTGTTTGCAACCAAAACCAGTTCTCTTGAAAGAGGAGAATGGTTGGACTTTTCAAACTGAGTGGGGCAGCTGACACCATGTAACTTCTCATTCTCTATAGAAGTTAAAGATGTGAAGAGAGACAGCTGAAGTAGTAGGCATACGGTATGTGGTTAAGTTAGCAAACAAGAAGCTAGGTGAATTATCCGATAAGATGTAAATTCATATTTTGCCTCAGTCAGCTTTAACAAAGTCTATGCCTTCTATCTGTCTGTATAGCTAGCATAAATAGAACAGTTCCCTGCAGATATTTGATACTGCAGTAGACTCTGAGGCCTTAAATTTGCAGTCTTTACACAGTCAACAGTCCCATTGATTTTTACTGATAGTTTAGAGGGATTTATGACTACAAGATGAAATACAGAGCAAATTTATTCTAACACTACTGTCAGTAAATTAGCTTTAAAGAAGTAGAGCATATCCCTGTAGGAGAATATTGTTTACTTTTAATATACTGTAAGTCAAAATTTTCATGACCTGCAGCTTTAAACAAAGGGTGATATTGAATACTTGCTCTGGTGGAAAAGGTACTATATAAATATCGACAATAGACTTAGCCTTTTCTATTAGTCAAGCATTAATGTTAAATCTCTGTTTGCTCTGGTGAAACTTGATGTAACATAATGCACTTGTTCAGCTGGTGATCAGATTATAATAGCTCAGAGTTATACAAATTGTTTCTGAAGTGTGCACAGCCTAAGAGATGGAAAGCATATGATGGAAGAATCACTGAAATGGATACACAGTACACGCTCTGTGCCAGAGAACTACTTGAAATCTACCGCAGCATTAGCATGAATGACATCCCAAAAGATGAGAGAATAGATGTGCTGTTAACACTCAGACGTACAGTGAAGGTATGTTGTATTTTTCTATTTATGTTTAGCTTGAAGCTGTATTTCCCAAAGATACAGTCACTTAATTATGTTGACACATAAGCAATGCTTCTGGCAGATGGGTGCCAGGGAGATCAGCTGGCAGCAAGAGAAAGCCTAGTGCACCACCTGGCATGAAAGTGTTATTTACATTCTAGATAGATACACTCTAAATTAATATTTCACTTTGACATCACATTTTCCTTGTTGTTGTTATTTTAAAGTTGTGTTGGTATTTTAAACCAATGGCTTTAGACTTTTTGTATATTAATACAGAATACAATTTTAGTACAAAGTTTAGCTTAATAAACACCTTGATGAAAACCACTGCAGAGATTCAAGTGGATATCAGTATTTCATTTTCTCAGTTCTTGTCTGTTTAGAACTTTGCCTCTCTCTTGTCTTGGGTTGCCAGTTTTATGGGTAGCAAATACTGATTTTAATTGTGTTTTGGTTTTGTTTGGTTTTTTTGTTTTTTTTTTTTTTTTTTTTTTTGACTTTGCCCCTCACTCCCCACACTCACTGCTGCTGCCAGTGTTCCCAGTGAATTAGAAGCTGGTTGCATTTTTTTTCAGTCTTTCATATTTGATTGATTTATTTATTTATTAATGTACAAAAAGAATAATGAGTTTCAAGGTGCTTTCAGGATGATAGTGTTGGTGTCAAACTAGAATAGATGCTGCTTCCTAATCTTATTAAAACAAATAAACATCTTGCTGTTTGCTTTAGTAGTACCAGAATTTGATCTAAAGCCAACATGGCATTGAGATCACTGCTGGTTCATGAACTCCTGCCTTTCTTAATACAAGTCAATATTGCTGCAGTGAACAAATTCTAGAATTTCTGTAAATTAGCACACTAGCTTATGTGAGAATATTTTGAAGTCATTTACCTCTTATCTCTCTATGGAGAATCTCCTCCTAAGCGTTTGGTATACTGAAATGACTGATTTCCAAGCATACCCATAAAGTCCCCCATGCCTTTTGTGTGGTGGGTTTTTCTGTTTGGACTTGTTTGTGTGTTTTTTTTTATTTTTTTAACCATCTACAATGTACATGCATTACATCTCCTATCACATAGCCAAATGAAGCTTCTTAGGGAGATATTTCTTGGGGCTTTAGGAGACTGAAAATTTTGCATGTGTTGTGTTCCTCTGCTTAGCATTTTTTAATACTTCCAGGTTTACAGTTCCTCACAGCTTTGATATATATACAGGCCCCTTAAAGCAGAATCTATAAGTGTTCTCAGTTTTGTAGTTCTCTTGGAGATTGTTTTCCTAAGACATTAAGGGGTTCTTCTATGAACATGCTACATGAACATACAGAGGTATGAATGATAATTGTCATAGAACCTACAATTTGCTTTCATATATGCGTTAGAATTATTTTGTTTGCTTGTTTGTTTCCTTATCGTTGTGGAGTTTGTTTTCTTTTTTCTTCATGTTTTCTTTCAGGAACATGAGTGTAAATTAACACAGGAAATAGTGGAATTAATTGACAGGGAAGTTGATCTTCTGTCAAGAGAGGTGAAAGAATGCAACTTAGAAGGACTGAGGAAAAGAATTTGTACATTATTTCTTCAGTATATTAAAATCCCAAAGTTCAACCCTGAAGTTGCTAGGATACTTAAGGTATTATTCTTGTTTTGCAGACTGACATAGTGGCCATTGAACTAAGGGTGGTGTAGAACAGGAATGGAAAACAATGAAAGCTTTTTTATTTTAAATTTTGCTGTAGGATTGCTGGAGGATTTCCTCAAGAAGTAAAATGTAGCAAGTACACAGGCTTTACACAAATAATCTTATGTAGTCATATAGGAAGCATAGGGCATAGACATGGGTATAAGAACCTGGCAAGTGGCTGGTAGCACAAAGAGAGCCCAGGAACTCTATGTATGAAATTAAAAAAATCTGAGAATTTTAAATGGTAGATCTTACAGGATGGTAACAGTAAAATGTAATAGCAAATGGGAACCAATAAAGAGGGCAATTATTTTTTTTTTTCCGCTGAACAAGGGGCATCTTCCCATGCATCCAGAACGGAAGAATGCTGGCATTGTCAAAGTGATGTATAATGAGCTTGCACCTAAGCAAGAGCTGTTGTGAGCTTCTGTTGTACAACCAGTTGCTAATTCCTGAGAAGAAGATCTAGCTAGGAAGTGGAGAAAGTAATAGACACCTTTCAATATTTTTGTTTTCCTTTTATGACTACAGATTACAATTAAAAATATGATTCACTATTGTATGTTGCAGCTTTAGGCAGCAACATGTATTCTGCATCTGTCAGAGGATTCCTCTTACAGTGGTTGATGGCATCTCAGGAGTAGAGAATTTGTCAATAAATGTTAGTCAGATTTAGAACCTACTGACAGTTATTTTACAATAGGCTTATGAACAGAGTTACCTAGATGTGTCATAGCAGAGACTAGAGATGGGACAACTTTGTATTCTGTAGCTTTTGGTTAACTGTATCTTGAGCTGAAGGCTGAATTACACCTATATTTGTATTTGAATCTTGTAACCTTCTGTAGACCATAAAAGAAAATGGAAGTTCATCAAGAGACAGCCAAAGTGACCAAATCCTCAGGGTACTTTCAAAAAAAGGCAGATGACCACAATAGGTAGCTGGATTATCAAACTACTCAGACTACCCAATTACAGACTACATTATATTCTTTCCAGAACTCATTAAGCAGTATGAGGATGAGGAGGTCATTAGCAATTTTAGTTGATTATCTTTCCCTATATTGTTTTTGGACATGTGGCTCTGATGATTTTCTGTTCTTATGCCAAGATATTAATATGTGCATAATCTCAGGGTTTTATCTTTGACATAAAGCGCAGATTCTGTATGAAAAATTCAGTGCAGAAGACTTAGTTTCTGTTTTCTCTGTGTGGTCATCTTTTCAGGATGGCTGCCAATCTGCATACATAAAAGCTTTTACACATTAGAATACTTGCATGAATATACGTTAAATATATTCCAACAGAGCTAGGGTGATACACAAGTAATACAAAGATACTTTGTGATAAATTAACTTTTTTTTTTTTTTTAATTGTTTAGGTTCCACCAGATCCCTTAAAGCTTTATAAAAATGTTAACTTCTGTCATAGTTGTGAAAATTACTTATCATCTACTGAGTTTCCTGTTCCTGCTAATTGCCGCACCATTGGCAGGTGTCGCTTCTGTTACAAACTTGATAATGAGGCTCGACAACGAGAAGCATATTTGACGTACAAACTTATACTCGAAAATCTCAGAAGGTCTGAAGCTGATTATCAGGATGATGCTAAAATCGTTTACTTGGTACAGGTACTGTCTGAAAGAGCATCGCTAATAGTGTAAACCAATGGTTTTGACTATTAATTTTTCCTTTATTTTGTGTATGTTGTTGGCAGATTGAGAAATAGGCTAAAAGCTACAAAAACTTCTTCCCGTGAAATGGGATGTTCCATACCATAGAGAGGGAGCACTTAAGCTCTTGAAGTATAGCTGTACTTTCAAAAGTGGTTACAAGCTATACATTAATAGAAGGTAGAAGTGTAGCTGACAGGTCAAAGAATCAGATGATCCAAATTATTATTCTGGTTCTACTATGCTGTCCCGTTGCTTAAAGATGCTAGCATCATCTGTAAAGCAACAATAATGTTTTTGTGAGTATAATATTGTTCAATACTTAATGCTAGTAAAACATTTTGAGCCCCGTTATTTGGACTGTTTTAGTAATACAACTAAATTGTCTCGGGCTCTCAGAAGAAAAAAAATAAAGGAGCTGAGGTTTTGATATTCCTGTTCTATGTCAGTAGAATATCTGTATAGCTGGAAGTTTAACTATTTTTCACTTATTAGGAGAGGGATTCACTAAATATTTTATTTTTCTAATTTTTTTACCATCATCTGTAACCTTCTGTAATATTACTATGTAGCTAATGTTTTTTAATAATCATTACTGGAACAAGTCAGTTCAAAGAACTTCTTCCTTCTATCTTCAGCAAATTCTCTCTTTTAGTTGTTATTACTTATTTTGTCAACAAAAGAATTTGACATCCACTCTCCACTAGGAAAGTTTTAAATCTGAGGTAATTGCTAAGTGTTATTTATTTAAAATATTGAACAGCTGAGATTTATTTGAACTTTCTGACATCTAGTAATAAAAATCTTCACAGCATCAACATTCTTAGAACAGGTTTTGAACTGTATTTTCAGTATGTCTGAAACCACAACCAGCCATCAATATCCCACTGCTATCAAAACAAGCCATTCTGTGGTTTAGCACTTTGCCAATGGCAGCTGCCAAAAGGCAGTTTGGGATTCTTTAATTATTATGCCTGTGTTAAGAAATATTATCAAAGAACCTGGATTTTGTAGATGTTGTTCATCCATATTGGTTTTCACTTCATATGAAAAGTTTTTTGTCTGTGTCTAACTTAGTTATCTTAATATGTAAACATCCTCCAAAATATTTTGGACCTCTCTCACATCACATCACATCACTTGTGATGGCTGGTGGCCACTGATGCGCTGAAACATGGCAGCTTCTTAGCTGCTGACACCAAAAGTCCTCACTTGCATTTCTGCTTGTGGTTGTACCACTGCAACATCTCTACATACAGTGTCATTTTCATCCAAAGTAACTTATTTTCTTTAGAGTTGTAAATATCTAAACAACAGAGGTTTGTACCTTAAATCACTAATTTCCTTGGTTTTTTTCCTAACATTTCCTTAAATTATTAATTTTTTTTCTGAGCTACTTGCTTTTTTTTCCCTTCCCCTCCCAACAACTGTCTGTCTCCTTCTGCACTTATATCCAGAAAACAGCTCTGAGGCATCTAGAAATTACTTGGGCACAACTAAAAGTCTTTTGAAGCAGCTATGACAGCTTCATTCGTTATCCAGTGCAGTACCATCACTATGTCTGATTGCATTGTCTGTGGATAGATGCAAGACTTTTGTGATAAGATAAAAGGTTTTTTCTTCAGATCTCTTTCGTACCGATTCTGTGTTTGGATTGACCACCTATGTGAGTGCTGCTAAGGTTTAAAAGGCAAAAAGCAGTTGGTGAGAGTTAAGGTAGCTCCAGTAAGTTCCACTTGCTGTAGCTAAAGACCTTTTTCATATCAAAATGAACTAATTCAGCAAATATGTCAAGTCCTGAAACTGCAATTTATTCTTTCAGAGGGTTTAACTATGCCATGCTCTGTAGAATCAATGAACAACTTCCCAATGGCAATGTCTTATTCATTTGAAGTTACAAATACATTAAACTCCTTTATCAGTTTGCTGCCTACCCTTCTTTCCCAGGCTCGCCTATTGAGCATTCAATGATATAATGATACTTGCTCCCAAGCTGTCAGATGACAGTACTTGAAGAGCATCTATGTTTCTTGTGATCTCAGAACAAATGGGGGGTGAAGCATAATTTGAAATGGATTAACTGTAAAATTTCACAGCAAAATGCATGCCTACCATTAGAAAGTTCAGAAGTGTCTTAAATCAAACTCTTCTCCATAACCTGAGAGGTTGTAACACAGGTCAAGCTTCTGTCTGTTTTTCAGGCAGAAAAAATAATGTAATCCAGGAAAAAGGAAGGGTCAAATTATGGATCTGTTCTGCATGGACCATTATATGCTTCAGTAAAAAGTTTTGCAAGTTTTGGTAACTTCTGAGATGTGTAGCTTAGCACAAAAATAGTAATATTTGCTAATATGTCTGCTTGCAAATTTCTGCCTTCTAAGAAGAAGATACAGAAGTTATTTGAAATTTTGTGAAAAGGAGGAAGTATTGAAAACAGAAGGCAATTAGTGAAACCTAATAATGGAAGCCCTGTAGGACCAGATTTGAGACCAGATGTAGGACCAGTCCTATGTTCTTGGAATCAGTAGGCACAGATTTATTACCAGTGGAGGATCTAAACCCAGCTTTTATTTTATGTTTTCCCTGGGAAGAATTTAAATGGGCTCCTGGATTTTAGAAGCAAGATGAATGAGAATACATGAAGTTACATTTCACTAAAACACTGTGTTGGTACAGTTTCACTCATCCTTTGTCAGGAATTTAATAAGTAACATGTAAACACCATTATTTAATTAATTAATTAAGTCAAGATTTCTTTTTTAGAGGAAAGAGTCTTCTTCAAATGTCTAGCTTGGAAGAAAACCTATTTAAAAGTCTGTACTTTACAGACTCCTGTATGTAAAAATCTTCTGATAATTTTCCATGACTAATACGGAAAACTAATGGAGAGTGACAGAAAAACTTGCCAAAGTTCAGTGGGTAACTGCTGTTCCAAGTTTTTTTTTCTTTCATTCAAGAGGTTGTATTTATCAAGATTTAATAGTGATTTCATATGGTTATTATGAAATTAAACAAATTAATATTGCATCAATTAACCTTAGACATAGGTTAAAAGTACATTTAAAGGCCTTTCTGTACTAGAGGACCTTTACAAATGGACTTTCTGTTATTTTTTGTTAGTATTGTAACATAGCTACCTGATGTTAAAATCTCATTTGGTAAAATGAGCAACAGTATAATGAGAACGATAAACTCTCCATATGTTAAGAACAGAGTGAGGGGAAGAAAGCAAAGCAGGCAGTGATTTGGGGTCTTTCACATGTAGGAGTTTTTCTTATCCTAATTTCCCCTATTTTCCAGGCCAGATTATTCTGATTATATGTAAACTTTAGTTTAGTAGTGTAATAACTCATCTATCAAATAACATTAATTCTGAATCCCAGAATGAACTGGAGAAGTCGTCTCGATAATAACAGAGATGGATTACTGTTATTAACCAGAAAGGTCTGAAAAGGCTTAAACATGCTATATGAGAAAAAAGCATGAGATTTAAGAAGCTTTATAAGAGCAGTTAAGCAATCAGGATGTCAGCACAAGATATGTATTGCCATTGGCAGAGACACTCAAAGTAAGGATGTAAAATTTTAGAGATGATACAAGAAAAAAGCAGTTAACAATTGCCACACCATGCTGAGGGAAGATGTATATGTCTAGATATTCTTTGACCAAGTGTTTATATGACATATGCATAGAAAAATTTTTTACTCAAAACTTTATTTGGATTCTTTTATAGTTACAATGCTTTTGGTGTAGCATGAAATCTGCCTCTTCCTTCTTAACCCTGTTTTCCTTTTCAGCATCAAGATCTGCAGTACATGATTGAGAACATATGGGGCTGTCGGTCAGCTCTCAGTGCTTGCAGTGACCTCTATGATTTGGTTATGGTCAGATGGGATAAGCAGAATGAGTGGTCTCCGTGGAACACTATTCTCCTCACTAAAAATGAGGCAGAAGCGCATCTTAAGCTGTGTAACCTTCAGAAGGTAAAATTTGATGGGCTTAGTCTTTTACAATATTTATCTTAGGTTTTAATACAATACTGTGACTAATCAGGTTTGGCCAAATTTAGTCCTTACACTCATCCATGTTTAAATTGGCTTGTTGCTACAATTTAAATGATTACATCTGTACTATTAAATAAACCAGACACTAGTCCAGAGGGCAGCTGGCATATACAACTCACATCCATCTACCTGAACTCTGTCTTGCCCTGATTATTCCTCCTAAAATGCAAGAAGGTAAGTGGCCTCATCCACACTGCCTACTGAGAACAGTGCCATGCCTATGCTATTCCCTCAGCTGAGATCAGACAAGAGCTGGCCTGGATGAAAAACATTCTAAAGACTAACCACAAATACTATGACAGTTGTGTGTCTGTGCTCTTGCACATGCTCTGGCTTCATTAGTTTCTGGTCTTCTAAATTTCTCATCAAATAACAGAAAGGCTCTTTGTCTAGAATTTAACCGTTTGTTGTAATAAAATTTGTCTTATTTTCTTACATAGATGTCATTTAAATACCCTTGACAATGTAACTGTATAGCTTGCAATAAAAACATAATTGCTGTTCTGAGTTAAAAAATTTCACAATTTCTTAAAGAAGTCATTGAAACTGTTTGTATTTTTACACCACTCCCCCCAAATTTCATATCTAAACGTGGTAGTCTGGTAAAAATCTCACTCCATTAGACAACATATGGTAGGATATCTAGTTTTCTAAGACACAGGAGAATCCTGTGAGCTGTGTTTGTCCTGCAATTAGTAATGGATTATTAACCCTTTCACCTCTTGGTTATAGATTTATGTAAGTAGTGATCTGAGGTCAATGTTGTATAGTGTCCTTTTGTTCAGGGTGTTCTTTATTCAATTTCTAACACAATATGTGTGCATCACAAATGAAATTCAGCTGTTATGCATTGTCCTTTTTGGAAACCTTAACAGTATGTGATAGCTAAACTGACAGAGCAAATCAGTTGCTCTCTTAATGAATGGTTTTCTTTGGGGATGAAATATATCAATCAGGGAATTCTGCCATCCATGGTATTTTTTGCATGTGTGCCCAACTTGTGTCTTCAAGCAGATACATGTTTATGTGAGCATTACCTTTAAAAGGTAAGATCAGTTTCAAGCTGGAAATTCCTTTATTGATGACTCTGACTTTCAGCCAACAAGGCTGTTCAAGCAGTCTGAATCTAGTGATGCTTCTCTGCATCCATAAATTTATGTCACTAACATTATGGCAGGAGAAGATTCTGATTATGAACTTATCTGATTTAACGTTGTAATTCTGGATGTCATAGTCAAAGAGATGCCAATAACTTGATAAGGTACAGAGCTTCATTGGAGGTGGGAGTTAGGCCAGAAGAGCAGCAGGGGAGGTATGTAAGCCTACTTAAAAATCATAAGGTATCTCCACTTAGATCTTGCTACAAAAATAGAAATGGACCAGCTATCAGTGAGAAGTCACCTTTCTTCACTGGTAATGGCTGAAGCTTCATCTAAAAAAAAAAAAAAATTGTGAAATAAGGAAAATGAGGCAAAGTTAGAATGGTGTAAGTTGAATCATTGTTTCTCATTTACTGAAACAAAAAAAAAAAAAAGGACTCTTAAGCACTTTCTTTAAAGCAGTTATTCATAAGGATGACTATATCAATTTATGACATCATCTGAACTACTACTAAACACTGGAAACTTATGTAAATGTCTCCATTGAATGCATAGGCTGACTGAACTGCAGCAGGATGCTTGCTGCCGTGATTATTTCTAAATAAACACTCTGATTCTTATCAAGGAAATTTCCTATAGTCATCACCTTGCAAATGTTAATATTTAAGCCTTGCCTTTATAAATTTTCAAAGGTAAGTACAAATTTTCTTACCTGAAAAGAAATGAATAAGTTTTATCTTGAACAGATAAAGAAATGTCAGAAGTTTTCATGTTTTTAAAAGGTGACTAATATTTCATAAGGAGTGGTTAGTAATTTTCACTACTGGGCCATAAGGTAGCAGTATAGAACTACAAAATATTTCATTATGTATCATATACAAATAAATTATCTGGCTTAATTTATGAAAGGGTTACAATTTGTACTGTCTAAAATATGAAGCAACATGTAGATTGCTAGATATTTTAATCATATTTAATTGGATTTACATTTTTTTTCCTTTCAGGCTTATGAAGCAGCATTTATTCACAGAATAAAACATAAGCATATCCAAGCAAAAACCTACTTTGCTCAGATTCCAGCGATGACATCATTTTTACACAGGAGTGACAATCAGGCTAATACAAATGAATTTTTAATAGGTACATCTATTCCTACTGGTACAAAACCATAACTCTTAGGCAGAGTTAACTGAAGTTAAAGAAGTTAACTGAATTATTGATTCATTCAATTTCCTTGGTATCAAAGAAATATAATTTTTAATAAATACTTTAATTGTATTACACAGATTAAAATAAACTTCTGAGAATAAAATAATTTGATTTTGACTAGTCAATATAACTGCATTTCATGTTTTGGAACCTCATTATTTAAAGAATAAAATGTTGTTGATGAGCTTTGTACATTCGACATTTTTAGAGCAATGACTGTTTTTCTGTGCATGCCTGTGTTGCTTGGAACATTCTCTCTGTAGTGTAATATTCCTGTTGGGGGAATTTAGCTAATTATTTGTCACCTTTTAATTAGAAAAATAATACTATAAACTCTATTAAATTTATTTCCTTCATCTTAAGCTTATATGGCAGAATCCACCTCAAACCCTAGATTCCTACAGAACAACAGAATTGATATGTCCTTCCAAATATAGCTACTTTGCTTTGCAAACATTTGTGCAAAAGAATAACTTTACTTTTTATAGCTCATCTTGATGGTCATAGTGGAACTGCCAGCATATAATTACTGTATCCAATATCTTGAAAACATTGTAAATCAGACTTACAATTTGAAATACACAAAGCAGACTGTTTGGAACCTGTTTATTTTCTGAGGAGCTTGTGTTATTTAAAGTAGAAGTCAATTCTCTCTGTAAGTTATTTTGTTATGTTTATGTTTGATTATAGTTACAGAGAAAAATATGATATGGTGTACATTCAATAAAGTCCTCCTGAAAGTTGCAATGTTCTGCTTGAAACATCTATTCTGGACGCGTTTTTAACCCAGGACAAAGCTTTTTGCTCTGGCAAATAAAACTCTCTGGGAAAAAGCAGTAGCATTTGCAGACAGAAATAAGCATATATTTGGCAGCAAATAGCTGTAAAAAATGGATTGACTCCCTCAACAGACCATGAACTGTAGACTCAGTACCTGACTGACCAGTGCATTCTAACATCAGTGGAGTCTTTCCATTGATTTTACCATTACACACAGATTTTGGATTTTAGTTCAGTACTGAGCTGACTGTAGAATTGCAGCACATGAGCATTCCAGTTGACTTACGTGCTTTCCAGGATCTGACCCTTAAGATACGAATTGTTGCTAAGATTGGGTTTCTTCCAGAGTGATAAAAGGATTTTTGAAGAAAACAATGGATTAAATGCCAAGAAGGAAAACATGAATTGTATAGATAGTAACCTCCATAAATCCATCACCTTTCTTTTTGAACAGCTTTTAAAAAATGTACTTTACAACCCCAGAAGGATGATTTAAATAAACAGTAAGGAAATAGTTCAAACAAATGTGAAAAGCCACTAGTCCATTGATTTCAATGCCATGAAGTGTTGGAGATTTTTGGAATCATAGGGGTAATGGCTTAAAACTGAAAGGGGGTAGATTTAGATTAGATGCAAGAAAGAAGTTCTTCACTGTGAGGGTGCTGAGGCGCTAGAACAGGTAGCCCAGAGAGGTTGCTGATGCCAAAGTGATAAAACAGGTTTATAAATTACATTTGTGAGGGTATCAAAGTAGCTGCTGACAAGTATTTTCTGGTCATTGTAAATATTTTTTTAATATGAAATGATTCTAATAGTAACTGAGATTTAAAAACAAAAAATCCAAATATTAAATTCTTTTCATTATTATTTTTTTTTAAGTGCCTATATTTGAATATATCTATTATCTGAGCTGGAGGGAAGAGGTTCTTTAATATGTGGCTGTAGTACCATGTTAGTGCCCAGACCTATCATTCAAAGATCAGATTTTCATGCAAAATGGACAGTGCATTTTTTTGTCACCTATGTATATATAGTTTTTCTAGCTTATCGCACTCTGTAAATTGTCCTTTTTACAACAGACATTCATTTTAGCCTGACTTACAGTCCTAAATTTACCTTCATCTTACACAAATCTGGCATTCACACTTCTTTTTATTCAAAAACCTTTATATCAGGAATGTAGAATTCTGAAGTTGAGAAGGTTTGTTTTATGATTTGTGTTTGTTTTTTGTTTTTTTTTTTTTTAAAGAGAAGGATTCATTAGAAAAAATAATTAAGTGTCCATTATCTTGGTCTTTTCAATTATTTTTTATGAGTCCTATATTTCAACTTTGACAGGATAAGAAATACACAGGATATGTGATAGGCATGCAGTTGTAAAAGAAAGCATGTGTCAGTCTGGAGAAATGGGTAGGAGTTGAATGTTAATACATGGTATGTCAATATTATAGCTTCTCTTAGTAAAATTATTTTAGTTAAGTGGAGATAACATGGTAATGGAGGTATTTTTTTCTTCATTGAAGTTTCTTAATGATTTCACAGTAGTCTGAGTTTCAGAATTTTGAATTTGTATTGGATTTTGAAAAATCCTTATGTGTACACAATTCTAAACCTGGACTTAAGATCCCCAAGGGTTTTTAAGGAAAAAGGCCTATGGAAAAATGCAAGAGTAAACCGCATGCTTTTGTGTATACCAACAGACATCAATCAAAAGTGTTTTTAGGTTCCTGCTCAAAGGTAAAAGAACCACTGTGATCTCATCTCATTTTAATTAAATTAAAGGAAAGAATCTTTCTGAAAATTCTCTTTGCAATTGGTATATTTTTTTTCTTATCGTTTGGCAAAAATCTTTATTTTTAGGAGAGAAGAAAAAAAAGAGAAAAAGGAGAAAATATATGCAGATGCATTTACAGACCAAATTTACTGAGGGAAGCAAACTAAAATTCCACTGAATAGGTTCTTCTCATTCCTTTTTCTCAAAGCTTTCTTCACTTCAGTTGTTCTCAAACCATGAATTGTGGAGAAATATTAAAAAAGAAAATTCAGTTTGTTTTCAGTTAAAAATTTGTTCATAAGTTATACGGCAATCTGAGAGAAAACAATCTGGTTTTGTTTCAGAAGTTCTAAGACTGTTTCTATAAGGCAAAATATGGAGGGTATACCCACCAACTGTGCTCCATCTCACTTGTGTGATTTGGTTAGTGTGTGCAAATACCCTGCAAAAGATCTAGCTCAAACCAAGGGATAATCCAGTTTTTGAGATATTACCAGCTGGAAAGAGTCAGGGACAATATACCTTTCTTTCACAATTTTCTCCCTTCTATTATCTTCTCTTGTTTTCATTAACCTATTTAAGTCAGCCATTTCCCATGCAACAAGACAGGAATCATAGGATCATACCATAGAATAGTTTGCTTTATGTTAGACCTTAAAGATCACCTTGTTCCAACCCCCCTGCCATGGGCAGGGACACCTTCCACCAGACCAGGTTGCTCCCAGCCCCGTCCAACCTGGCCTTGAACCCTTCCAGGGAGGGGGCAGCCACAGCTGCTCTGGGCAACCTGTGCCAGTGCCTCACCACCCGCACAGGGAAGAATTTCTTCCTTATATCTAATCTAAATCTACCCTCTTTCAGTTTAAAGCTGTTACCATATTTCTTATCGCTACACTCCCAAATAAAGGGTCCCTCCCCATCTTTCCTGTAGGCCCCCTTTAAGTACTGAAAGGCTGCTATAAGGTCTTCCTAGAGCCTTATCTTCCCCAAGCTGAATACCCCCAAGTCCCTCAGCCTGTCCTCACAGGGGACATCTTTGTGGGTATGCCCCATCTTTGTGGTCCTTTGGTCCCACTTGAGCAGGTCCATGTCCTTATGTTGAGGGCCCCAGAGCTGGACACAGCACTGCAGGTGGGGTCTCACAAGAACAGAGTGGAGGGGGAGAATCACCTCCCTCGACCTGCTGGCCACACACAGAATACAGTTGGCTTTCTGGGCTGCAGGTGCACATTTTTGGCTCATAGTCAGTTTTACATCCACCAATACACCCAGGTCCTTCTCCTCAGGGCTGCTCTGAATCCACTCATGGCCCAGCCTGTGTTTGTACTTGGGATTGCCTCGACTCATGCACAGGACCTTGCACTTGATCTTGTTGAACTTCATAAGGTTTGCACAGGCCCACATCTCAAGTCTGTCAAGGTCCCTCTGAATGACATCCCTTCCCTCCAGTGTGTTGACCCCACCACACAGCTTGGTGCTATTGGCAAACTTGCTGGGGGTACACTCAATCCCACTGTCCGTGTCACCAACACAAATGTTAAACAGCGCCATTCCCAACACTGACCCCTGAGGAACTCCACTTGTGACTGCTCTCCACTTGGACATCAAGCTGTTGATTGCAATTCTTTGACTGCAACCATCCAGCCAATTCCTTATCCACTGAGTGGTCCATCTATCAGATCCATGTCTCTCCAATTGAGAGACAAGGATGTAATGCGGGAGAGTGTCAAATGTTTTGCACATGTTCAGGTAGATAATGTCAGTTGCTCTTACCTTATCCAGCAGCACTGCAACCCCATTGTAGAAGGCCACCGGATTTGACAAGAACGATTTGCCCTTAGTGAAGCCATGTTGGCTGTCACCAGTCAGCTCCTTACTTTCCACGTGCCCTAGCGTAGTTTCCAGGATGATCCAGTCCATGATTTTACTAAGCAGAGGTGAGACATCTCTTACATGACTTATGCTTCTCATCCAGAGTGTCAGTGTTTGAGTATGAACTTCTTAAAGAAGTTACACAAGCCAGCACTGTAAATGCACATTTAAACAGTGTAAATTATTTAGCCTTATGAAAATCCTCTGTAATAATAGAGTTGAGCACTGGTCGCCCATTTAAAAAGTATAGAATTGTCAGATATTTATTAATGAATCATTTGCTCTTGTGGTGAGGTTCCTGTCAGGTTACAACACATATTTATACAACACTATATATTTGTTGGTCTTGATTTCCATACTTTCAGATCAGCTTGTTGAGGGTTTATTCTGACAGGGAAGTCTTGGCAGTGTTGGTCATATTTACGAACTGTTTTAGTAAAGAAAGAGTCCCACTAGAACCTACTCTTCACTGATTTGTGTTAGAGGAATAATAAGATATGGTACTTTCTTGCTCTGTTTCGCAAAACAAGGATCTCTGCATTGGGTGAGCTAAAGAATGAAAGGAATCACAGTCGGAGAAGGCATGGGCGTAGTGGAATAAAAATGTAGTAGTAATGCACTACTTCTTTTGGCTGCCAACTGCAATGCAAATCTAGCAGGTTCTGCAAATTCGAAAGTTTTGCTGGAAATTCTGTGAGTCCTTTAGTATTCTGTGGGCAACCACATTGTGCACTCCTGATTTATATAACAGTGACCTTAAATTCATCTTAATTTCTTATATAAAGATTCATTGTAACAAGCAGACAGGAATACTTACAGTTAATTGGCTTAGTAGACAGGAGATGCTCACAAAAACTGGCAAGACTATTCTGGACAGTCATGTGAGAAACCAGATCTCTCACATTCTGGAAGATACCATGGAAAAGTCAACCACTTTGAGAATTACAAAGTATTTTGTTTGTGTTGACTGAGCAATTCTAATTCATCTTAAATTCTCCCTAGGGCATTCCATTTCTACCCCTCTGGATTTGTGCTCTGGGTTGCTGTCTTACCTCTATGCACCCTTAAGCAGATGAACAAACATGGGCTTGTGAAAAGGAAGATGAGATATTTCTAATATAGCTCCAAGAAGAAGAGAAAAAAGTGCAATTAAGGAGTTAAATTTAGTGTTATGTAAAGGTAACATGGAGAAGAAAAGGACCATGTAGATGACTGGTATTATTACTTCCCTCAAAAATATTATTTTTGTCTCAGAAATCTGATTTCAGATTGAAGTGATGAA